ATGATCGCATTGCACAAAAGCATTGTGGTGGCAAGAAGGAATTTTGTTGAAGTAAAAGCTAAAATATTTGTATCATACTATCGCAGCTATTTGTACCATGTGATCACATAGTACAAATCTGAACAGAAGATTATATTTCCTTTTTTGTTTTCATGCATTCTTGGAAATCAATTAGGGCGACAATTCAACCTATTTGGAGCCTCCAAACATTTTTATCATACTTTTATGCGGAGAACAAGTCTAAAAAAGTATTGAAGGCAATTAACATCAAGATTTTGAAGATTCAATGCTTAGAATTGAATATCAAAATTAAGAAATAGATTTTCTATTTTTCTATAATATTTATACATTCTAGGTGATGAATTTCCATAACTCTTCTTGTAGTTCTATTATAAAGTATAAACACGTTAGTTTAAAACTTCATTGTGTTGGGATGAAGATAAAACCTATTACGTGAGTTTTTCAATTCAAAGACCATTTATTTAGTGAATTTATGTTCTTGATTGTTATTGCCTGCATTGTTGAATTACTTGAATGCTTGATCACCATCTAGGTAATTAGTTGCTTGTATTTCAAGAGATTCATGATAAGTATTGAACATTGCAATGTCAACATAAGGATCAATAGATGCCAGGAATGATATTTATGACTTGTGCAATCATACAAGTGGTCATGCCATTGAATGCATTACTTCACATATAAATTCGAGATATGGATATTATCGGGTCGGGCTTAGAATAGGTTTGGCTAAAACTCAAGAGAGATAGTTGAATATAATTAGATTATCTCACACTATATAACGTAGATCGAGAATTAGAAATAGGAAAACAATCATACTTAGCCATTGTTTGGTGGAGATTAAAATTAGATTTTTAGTAGATTTTGATAAAAGTTAATGAAATGTGTGGTTGAAAAGTTGTGGAACCTATAAAATATGTGATAAAAATTAATTATTGACTTTGATTTAGATTAAAATTTAGATTTTAATTGGTACCGAACATGAGCTTAGTTTCATAACACTTTTAGACAAATAATAAGATAATTTAGAAATAAACAAATCAAAAATTTTGTTATGGTTATATTCAAGTTTGATAAGAATTAGTAATTCAATTTAATATTAATTTCTCGTAGGATGATACTCTTTCTATCTCGTACGCTTGCAAGGTTTCACCGAACATGAGGCTTATGTGTTTTTGACTATTTGTGAGATTTTCATTCAATTTATTAGGGTTATGAATACAACTTCAAGTATTGGTAGGAGTGGTAATGGTTCGACTATGCTTGGTCATTGGGCCATAAACCAAGCTTGGGCATATTCATTGAGCTCGGCTCAGCCCGACCATGAGCTAAGTCGAGTTGTTTTATTTTTGCCTTTTTTAATTATCAAGAGTAATGCTATTTATCACGATTGGTGTTAAAACACCAGTCTAGGTAGCACTAAAGTGGCATTAAGCGAGATGTACAATTAAATGACTCGCTTAATTGAACATCTTATTGAGCTATCACATCACGCTATCTAAACTAGTGTTTTAGTACTACTAATGTTATATAGCATTATTCTTTTATTAATAGGCTGCAAAAAATGTAGCCTATTGTTGGTACAAAATGGGCTGGCTCGTGCCTTTATGGGCTTGGATTGTTCATGAACCGAGCCCAAACGAGTCACCTGATGAGCAGTCTGATCTCATTTTCAGCCCTAAGGTCATTAAACCCCATTTCAACTGTAGCCACGTCCGTGCCAAATTCAAGTCTAATCTTCCCATTAAACCCACGGGAGCCTGTGTTCGTGTCTTCATGTACATGAGCAGCATTACATGTTATAAAGCTGCATAAGGAGTTGAAGTCATAGGTGACTCTAGAATGTTTTATATGCTCCATTGAAGTCAATTAGTGATTGTTCATTTAGTACACATTATTTAGATATGTCGAAACATGTTTACAATATTTTTATTTTTTTAAATTGTCCAATGTTATCTAATAATCTCTACTTTTCATAAAAATAGACTTGCTTCCCTCATTTGTTTGTCCCAAATTAGAGGCTACTTTCCTTATTTGAGTATAATTAATTTTTTGATTTTCTAATTCCTTCCTATTTAATGTACCTTGTTTGAGAGAGATTTTAATCCAATTAAAATTGAAAATATAGCCGTTATTGGGTCCCACTCGTCTAATAAAAGTCAACAATAATGACTAATTTTTCAATTTTAATTCGATTTTAATCTCTACCAAACAAGTATGTAAACATTTTCAACTATAATAGTTACATTTTCTTAGTTTGCGTGAAAATGGAAAAAAAGTATCATTATGGGACGAATATATTATTTAGTTTTTATATCAAACACGTCGGATTATCACAGAAATCGAGCAATTGTGTTAAAAAAATCTTTAGCTTTTTGTATTTGCATTTGTTTGGCCAATCTTTTGGTTAGATTGGACACCATAACAAAACCACAATCAACTTGTATAAAAGGTAAAAATCAAAAAGTAAAGGCAATAACCATGATAGAGGATAAAAAGCTTTCTCTATGAGAGAGAGAGAGAGAGAGAGAGAGATGCTAACGACATTATGAGTTCAAGATAATAAACACCAACGTACTAAAAACATTACGAGACTAATTCGATGAAATCTACGCTGTGAACCCCTTGAAAGTTGATTTGCATGACAACATTTTGTCTCCACTGCAAACCCCACAAAGTAAAGTTATCCATTTACCTCAAAAGAAAGCATATAATATTATTATTTAATGTTACATAATTGATTGGGCCCCTTTCTAGGATTTTATGATTTATATATGAATGTGTTGCTGTTCATTTAAAGTTAAAACAAATACAGTCGAATATTTTGCATTCATGTACTCCATTATCAAGAGTGATATGATTTACGACTACATGAGTTCAATATTGAAATTTTCTATTTTGCATTCATGTACCCCATTATCACGAAGTGATATGATTTACGACTACATGAATTCAATATCAAAATTTTCTATTTTGCGTTTATGTACACCAGTAGTCACGAGTGATGATTGATATGACTCACGACAACATGTATTCAATATTGAGATTTTCCATTTTGCGCTCATGTACACCAATAGTCTCAAAGTGACTTACAACAATGTTCGATATTGAGACTCTCCATTTTGCATTCATGTCAGCCAATAGTCACGAAGTGATATGATTTGCGACAACATGTGTTTGATATTGAGATTTTCCATTTTGTGATCATGTACACCAGTAGTCACTAAGTGACTTACGACAATGTTCGATATTGAGACTTTCCATTTTGCATTCATGTCCGCCAATAGTCACGAAGTGATATGATTTGCGACAACATGTGTTTGATATTGAGATTTTCCATTTTGTGATCATGTACACCGGTAGTCACTAAGTTATATGATTTACGACACGTGTTTAATATTGAGATTTTCTTTCTACAAAAATAAATTTTTAACGATAAAAAGGAAACTTGTAACTTTCACTTCGTTTTAAATTGAGTCAAACGTCTCTATCAACCTCCCTTTTCTCCCATCTTTTTCTTTTTAAGTGTTAACTAGTATTAATTTTTAAGGTTGTACTTGACTAAGCAACAACTAATAATAGGGTTCCTTTCAGCGCCATATTATATTCCCTTGACTAAGCAACAACTAATAATAGGGTTCCTTTCAGCACCATATTATATTCCCATTTTGCTCAAGAGACTTTCAAATGGAACTCCTTTTCAATATCATCACTAAAAATGTTTGTGCTGATCCTAGTGAAATCACTGTATATACATTCGTATGTATGTATGCATAGCAATAAAATTGATAAATCCAATTAGACTTAGTTAAAATTTATCCGAATAAGTAATTACTAAAAAATCAGTGCCGATCAAATCACGATATCTTCTTAAAATAATTTCGCTCCTACTACTCAAGATTATGAACAATTATCTTTTAGCTAAGGTGGATTTTCATTTCTACGAAAACCGTACCTCAATCACATAGGAGCCAATGAATACATCTTCTCACTAAACATTGAACGAGCATTTGACATAGAATTTTTACACAACCCGAAAGAGTTTATTTGTAAGATAAAATAGAGGATTATGAAGATCTTGATCATTTTGTAAAAATCCGTTATTCCTATTTATAGATTTTGAATGTGACCATTCATCGAAAAGACATGGATTTTCATAAAGATTTGCAACTTTTCAAAAATAAAATGTAGGAGTAATTTCGTGAAAAATATACGAAATTGAACGGGTAGCATTCCTAGATAGAGAGATAGAACTCTTGGATAAAAATTCTTTTAATTTAAAGACAAAATCATTGTAAAACAATCTTCTAACTTAAAAGTCATAAACTTTTAGTCATTAAACAGGTAGACTTAAATTTGTCAAATTTATACATCTTCATTTCAAAAGGAAAGAAATCGTGGACAGGATAAGACTACCCACTTACTGATGTGATTAGACAAGATAAGATTTTCCACTGTATACAAGAGAACATTTCTATCGAAAGGTAAACAATTTCTATAATATATATGTATATCAATCATGCTACACGTACGTTTTTTTTACATTAATTTTTACACCCTTCCATGCGGCAAGATCCATATTCTTGATTTTGAATACATCCATCACATCACTATACAGATCTCTTCCATGTAGAGAGGGATGTCAACACCATTTTCAAGGACAATGTACATATAGTTTAATTGAATGTATATTTATTAGTAACCTAGAGAAATTCCTCCACTATACATGGTACGACTGTCCTAATATTCTGGTTGCCATACATCATTGCTAAAGTCCTATTAAAAAATACTTAGAAAACAGTATAAATTCATCTTCTTTTGCTGGTTTTTGTTCACCATTCATCAATATACTCTTGGTAATTAATTAGCCATTCAATTAAAGATTCCACAAAGCTCCATTCTCTATATAGTACTCACAAAAAACACATGTCCTTACCTCAAAATTTCAGAAAATTGTATTTCCTCACTTATTCTGTTTCAACATGAGCAGTCTTCAGTGGAATTCTTCTCATAAGATCATAATCTTAACATCCCTTTTTGTTGTTTCGCTTCCGGACGTGGTGGCCGGAGGGTGCACGTGCGATGATGAATCCGAGCACCGGAATAAAACCGAGGCCCTCAAGTACAAACTGAGTGCCATAGCTGCTGTTCTTGTTTCTGGCGGTATCGGTGTGAGTCTCCCGCTTCTTGGCGGAAAAATTGAAGCTCTACGCCCCGAGAATGACATATTCTTCATGATCAAAGCATTTGCCGCAGGAGTGATTTTAGCAACCGGGTTCATTCACATCCTTCCTGAAGCATTCGAGACATTGACATCTCCTTGCCTTAGCCAGAGTCCATGGGGAAAATTTCCCTTCGCAGGATTCGTCGCGATGGTGGCTTCAATTGGGACACTCATGGTGGACACAATTGCAACAAGTTTCTACAAGAAGATGCACTTCAACAAGATTAAACAGGTGAACGTGGATGAAGAGGCTAGCGATGAACACGCTGGACATGTTCATGTACACACTCACGCCACACACGGTCATGCTCATGGAGCCGCAATCCCTGATAATGAAACTGGGTTCCTTGATCTTGTCCGGCAGCGCATAATATCACAAGTAAGTTCTAGATCAATTGTTTAAACTTTTAGATGAGGCGATCAATATCGAGCATGATTTCAAATTGTTTTGGGTAGGTTTTGGAATTGGGAATTGTGGTGCACTCAGTGGTAATTGGAATTTCATTGGGGGCTTCAGATAGCCCTGACACAGTAAAGACTCTATTGGCAGCTCTATCATGCCATCAGTTCTTTGAAGGTATGGGACTTGGTGGTTGCATCTCTCAGGTATTTCTCTCAAGCAAATTTATCCTAAATTTTAGGAATCAACAAAGTTACAAATGTTGTCATAATGTTTTCATCATATACCAATTTGTGGTTCATATTATGTTATCATATTGTTTCCATCATTTATTCCCAATGGTAGCAAGAAAGTTATTCTGAGTCTCCCCACCTTCTTTTCTTTCTCTAAATTGTTAATTTTGTGCGATTAGGCCAAATTCAAGTCCCTAACGAAGACAGTTATGACACTCTTTTTCTCCTTCACCACCCCAGTTGGGATCGCGATTGGAATCGGGATATCAAATGTGTACAAGGAAAATAGCCCTACTGCTCTTATTGTTGAAGGGATCTTGAATTCCGCGTCATCCGGGATACTGATATATATGTCACTTGTTGATCTATTAGCAGCAGATTTTATGAATCCTAGGATGCAGAACAACATTAGACTGCAGCTGGGAGCACATGTTTCACTTCTACTAGGCGCTGGATGTATGTCTTTTCTGGCCAAATGGGCATAATTTCCCTTCACTTTTTATGTCCCCTTTCCCTACTCTCTTATGGTTTTCTCATGGAAATTTCCAATGCTTATTAAAATAACAAGGCTTGTTTTATGTGTAACAATCATTACAAGAATGTTATTAGATAACGGCTGGAAAAAGCATAAGCACTACGGAAAGGAACAACATAAAACATTTGATTCTCAACATATGGATAGAAACAAATAAGCTTCTTGTTTTTCTAACAACTTAAATTGTTTGATAGTTGTATCAATATAGTAATTAAGCATTGAAACATCTCGATCTTGCATTCAAGCATACAGATATTCAGAGGTAGCCAAGGCTTGCACCAGGCCCACTGTTTTTTTAGTGAAAAAAAAAATAATGAATGTGTTTTATATATCAATCCATTATAAAATTTGGGGAACATTACCTATGTAAAGTGTTTGCTATACACCATTTCATTTTTAAGAAAAAAACTTTAAATCAGGTGGTAACGAATATATATTATATTTATAGTAAATAACTAAATATATAAATTAAACTCTAGTAAATAAACGTCCTAAAATCAAGCATTCAGTTATCATTCCAAACAGGACTCTCTCCAAAAGAAAAAATCGTGATGAATCGTGAAGACCGAACAAAATAGAAAAGCTACAGAGTTCTCTCCGGAAAAAATGTTCTCAATTAAAACTTCTGAAATCTAATTGTTTGAAAATCATCTGCCGCATCACAAATTGAAAGTTATCGTCACAATAGATCAGATTATTTGAAGGCAACTATCACAAACTGAGGTAATAATAGATTGGCCTGTAAACTGTGAGTTGATGTAATAGAAATTAAAAAGAACCATTGTTACATGTGATATTGATCCAATGTCATGTGCCCAATTCTCTTGGATTTGTGACCTATGATTGATTACCTATTACATTTACCTGTAAACTATCATATTGCATAGGTAACAGAGTTTTCCTTGCTTTACTATTATAAGAATCAGATGATTCCATATGCACCTACTCCTTCTCACTCAAAATTTCCTTCTTGCCACCATCATCTGCATTTTCTTCACCCGATAGACCTATCAACCTAAGAGCAACAGCATGAAACGCATGCCATACACGCTCAAGACTAGAAGTCTTAACTAGAAGACCATTACAGAAAATATGGATTGATTCTCCGCATATAATTTCTGGAGAGTACGTGATAAGCCAAATTCCTTTTTGAGTAGTCATAATACTATTTTCTATGTCCAGAGAGATAACCACAAATAAGAATAAGCCACTGAATTTCAGCACCTAGAGATTTTAAACAAACAAGAACCAAACCCCACATATTAACAACCTCGAGTAACAAACAGTATCTGTAATTCTTCCTCCGCCCATTTCCACACCATAACCCTCATTTCTCCCACACTACAGCCAGCACGCACAATAGCCTCCCCCACCATGAAATCCCTGAATCACCACCATCGAATTCTTCCTCATTCTACGCGCAACAGTGAAGGAGCACCGCTGCGCCATGAATAGTTACCGAAGCGGGTGCGCCGTGAAGAGTCGCGGGAGTAGGTCCACCGTGAAGAGTTGCCAGATGTGAATGAAGCAACTACGAGGATAATGGATTGAAAATGAATTATTGGGTGGGGTGTATGGGTTTGGTGGGTGGGGTATGTAAATATATTTAGGGGGTATTTGACACTCATTTTAGTAGAAAAAGTGTTTTTGAATAGTGATTGATGAAAGAATATGTGGTTAAAAAGTAAGGAGAATTTTTAGGTTTATGTGTAATATTATTTTATTGATAGAATGTGTGGTTGAAATGAAGAGAGAGAAAAAGAATGAGAATGAGAATGAAAAAAAAATGGATGCCAGGAGCTTAATTTTATAATATTACCATTTAATATTAAAAATTGAATTATCACTTGATTTTTGTATAAGCAAACTTTAAACATAATTTTTGAAATGCAATCTTTAAATATATGACTCCCTATAATTTTCACTAATTTTTTGTGTCCTCCCTAACTCCACCCTTGCATGTATCCAATTATTAAAAAGACTCATTTCCCGGGGCATAGTTTAGTGGTAAAAGGATATGAGTGATGTAGTCTCAACTGAACTGGCAATCGCAGTGTGAGAGTTTGATTCCTGTCTCTTACAAGGTATAAAATTAGACTTTTTGTGAGTATCAGTATGTCAGTTCTTGCACCCTAGTTTACTGAGGCAAATCCCGCAATTTACCTCATCCACAAAACTCTAGGGACAGGGACAGGGGCAGGGGCAAGGGCAGAGGTGGGGGCAGGGCCCTCAAGGTTGGGTTCAACCTTTAATTATAAAAAAGACTCACATGTCGGACATTTGATTGCGTGGTTATATCCGTATATATCTCTTTTCTTCTTTTTTTGCTTATAAACAAATGAATTTAAGAATATAAAATTTATTGTGCTTGTACTTGTTCTGAATAATTACTAATATGATAATAATCAATGGCCAAGACATTTGCTTGAATTGAACGCCCAATTTTTCGAAGAATGCTTAATTAATGGGCATAAACATGCAAAGTTGACCAAGGGGGCTAGCTATATATATGCTCTGTGTCCTGACCCCTAAAGGGAATAACTTTATATCTGCTACATTCACCGTGCCTAAATCATCAAAATCATGAAATTCTACAACGCATAAAATAAAAGAATCAACATAGTATTGATTGTGTTCTCTGACCTTTCATTTCTGAACATCAACTATTATTCCAAGTACGAAAGTATTTACGATTTTGATGTATGTTCAACTCTGATATGATATGAGTGCGTTTTGAACTTTTTTTCTAATTACATCTTCAAAATACCTTAAACGGAGTTTTTCTCTACTTCATTAATTTTCAGTCTATATCACATTAAGAGCCTGTTTGGTAGAAATTCTAATTTTGTATAGTAAATCAATTCTCATTTTCAATCACACATTTTTCAATAAAATAATATTTTCCATCACATCAATAATTTTTTCTTGTTTTTCAACAACACATTTCCCATCATATCACTATTCAAAATCAATTCTTCCCCCAAAAAATCCCTACCAAACAAGCTCTAAAACATAAATAAGGTCAATCACGAAACAAACAAGACATTTTTTTTTCATGCGAGTTCACTTGTATAACATACGCAAGTGCAATCTAAACCGGACGATAGCGTCACTCGCAATGGCGGACCCAGGATTTTGAGTTAGTACGGGTGGCCGTGGATCGTCGACCGTTGTCAGCAATAAAATATTAAGAGCCCCGTTTGATGCCCATTTTTTGCAAAAAGTGCATTTTGGAATAGTGATTTGATGGATAATATGTGGTTAAAAATAAGGAAAAGTTTTAAATTTAAACGTAATATTATTTTATTGAACAATGTGCGATTAAAAGAAGAAAAAAAATGTATTTTGGAAAAAAAAAAGAATCAAACAATGTCTAAAATTTAAATATAACAATTATTATGTTCAAACTGAACATATATAATTTTGTTGTAAAAATTAGCAATATTCATCAAATGATATTGTGGTCAAGTTTTGTATAATTCAAAGGAAGAGTACGAGTTCAAATTTTTACAATTGCATTAAACCTGCTAACATATATCATTCTGGTAAATTTAATATCAAATCCAATGAGTGTTACAGTGGTCAAGCTCTCAATTAGGTCACGGTTTCGAATCTCCTCTCCTTATCCCATTTAATTTTGGTAAAAAATAAAGAATTAAAAATCTTTCACAATAAAAGTGGTGAGAAAGAGATTCAAAACTGGGACTTCCCATATGAATATACAAGCTCCAACCAACTGAGCTATAAGAAATTTTTGAAAATAAAACAAATTATCAGGTATATAACCTAAAAATATTATTTATTGTCAACAAAAAAAAAAATAAAAATTGTTCCCGACGGATCCAGCACGTGCGGCCACCGAGGCTCATCGAATGCTTGGTCCGCCACTAGTCACTCGTGATGAGGCTATTGTAGGAAAAAATGGGTGATTCGTGTGTAGATCATATAACGTAACAAATTAAATTAGCATAAACATTATAATTCAACAATAACATAGTCATAAGACATAAGTAGAGAGTTAGGAAAAGCAAGTCCTAGAGAGTCACGTCAAGAGCGCTATCCTAATATTGTGTTGCCTCTCATTCGTGCGGGTATTTTCGACACTGCCCAACTCCAAAATAAAACTCATGTGGCTCACAGCCGGTTCTCCTTCTATAGGCACGATCATAGGGAGATAAAGAATGGATCTTTATCAAATGGTCAAAACTATAGAAATATAGTATGAAATATAAAAAGAGGATTTTTGTTGTGTAACTCAAGTTGTATATTCACATTATAGTAAACTTTGAAAATTCTCATGCCTTTTATAGAGTTAAAACAACCCCCACAACAATGAGATTTAATTCAATTTAATTGTAAGTTGCACACTAATATTATTGGTTTTAACTGTAAAATTAAAATTGGATTAAATTTTGAAAGTTAAAGCTTATTTATGTTACAACAATCCCCCACAAGTTTTAATATTTCAAAAAATATAAATATATATATAATATAGTGACAACATTATACTGTGCAACATGTGTAGGTGTCTTTTGAACTTGAATCTCACTTGGTGTTAACAATTTCCATTTGAGAGAACCATAATGGACTAGGCCTTGAATTAAGTCCCTTTGGCCAAAGTTCAATTGTTCTACATACAAATCAATTTAGGCTCTAGGGAATAGCCCAATCTCATAGCCATGACCTCAGACAACTCTTACATAAGTGAGTCCTCAAAGGGTGTGTGTGATCCACGCCTTGCGAGAATTGTCCCTTTGATACTCATTCAAGGTTAAACAATTCCTAACATTACATCATTAATAGCACTATCACCATAGGGATGAGGACAAATAAAATAGTGCTATTATAAGTCACGCAGTACGGGTTGTTTCTACCACATTGAACCTTCTTCATGAGATCTTCAATCACAAAGGTTGAGTTATTCTCGAAGGTGACTCCCTTATGGGTTTA